ACATCCCTCAGCAAGGCCCTTCCTGCCCTTCCCATGGATCCAGCCTGGCCACATCCCTCAGCAAGGCCCTTCCCGCCCTTCCCACCCGCCCCCCGAGTGCTCCGTGGGCTCGGCTCACCCAGGAAGTCATCGGCCGAGAAGTGGTCGGCGTCCCAGACCTGCAGGGTGAGCCGGGCCGGGATCTTGTACTCGGTCTCGTCCCAGGAGAACATGGACTCCTTCTTGGAGATGACGATCTTCTCCTCGGCCATCAGGTAGTCGAAGGGGAAGATGTACCTCCAGTTGAAGTTGCCCTCCCCGGTGAGCGAGTGGTAGTGGACGTCCGTGTCCTGCTTGTCCTCCTGCTGCCCCTTCAGCCACCTGCGGGGTCAGGGGGGGACACGGGTGACTCGGGATCCCCCTGTCTGTGCAGCCAGGGGGGTCTCCAGGATTGGGAAGAGCCAAGAGAGGGGAGCCAAGAGGATTTGGGGCTGCTCCGGGCAAAGGGGCACAAGGGGATGGGGAGGGGACAGGGAAGTTTGGGAGAAAGGGATGAAAATGGGTCGTCTGGGGGCAGGGAGGTGTTAAAGAGCTGGATGGGAGCTGGGAGCGTTGTGGGAGCAGAGCAGGATGGGAAGGGATCACGGGAGAGCTGGAGAGGGACTGGGGACAAGGGATGGAGGGACAGGACACAGGGAATGGATCCCACTGCCAGAGGGCAGGGAGAGATGGGAGATTGGGAAGGGATTCCTTCCCTGTGAAGGTGGAAAGACCCTGGCACAGGTTTCCCAGAGAAACTGTGGCTGCCCCTGGATCCCTGGGAGTGTCCAAGGCCGGGTTGGATTCCCTGGGATAGCGGGAGGTGTCCCTGCCCATGGAGCGGGATGGGATTTGAGGGCCCTTCCCACCCAAACCAGGCTGGAATTCTATGGTTCCATGGAGCTGGGATGGCTCCAGACTGAGCTTCTCAGATTCTTGGAAGATAAATCCTGTGGGATGCAGCTCCAAAGGATTAAAGGAAAACACTGAGCTCCAGGAAGAGCTTGGAGCACATTCCAGAGCCTGAAGGGGCTCCAGGAGAGCTGGAGAGGGACTGGGGATCAGGGCCTGGAATGACAGGACCCAGGGAATGGATCCCACTGGGAAAGGGGAGATTGGGAAGGGATTCCTGGCTGGGAGGGTGGGGAGGGGCTGGGCTGGAATTCCCAGAGAAGCTGTGGCTGCCCCTGGATCCCTGGCAGTGTCCAAGGCCAGGTTGGATTCCCTGGGATAGCGGGAGGTGTCGGGGTTGGAACGGGATGATCCTTAAGGCCCCTTCCCACCCAAACCATCCCAGGATCCCCAAAAAGCAAGGATGGGCCTTTTCCCAACGCTTTGGGGTTTCCCTCCCCTGCATTCCCATGCTTCCCGTGGAGAAGGGAAGAGCCTGGCAGGGTTTCTCTTGGAGCAGCAATCCCATATCCAAGCACGGGAAAACCGGGATGCGGGTGCCTGGTTTTCCTGGGGTTAGATGGGAGATTGGGAAGATGTCCCCCCACCTCAGGCACCCACCCCCTGACGAAGATGTCGCTGGACTTCTCGCCCGTGAAGTAGTCGTCGTCCTCCAGGATGACCTCGTCCGTGTTCCACACGATCACCCGCAGCTCGTACCTGGCAGTGGGAACAGGGAAAATCCCAGGGGAGGGGCAGGATCTCTCCAGATCCCCCCCCAGCCTGTGTTTTCCCAGTCTGAACCAATTCTGTGTCCACTGACGTGTTCTCCTCCTCTTCTTCACCCCCGACCCTCCTCCCTCTTCCTTTTGGGCACATGTTGGGTGTGTTGGGACAGAACCCCCTGCCAGAAAGCAGGGACGGGCACCAGGATCTCACCGGGATCAACTGAGGGAGCCGTGAGGGCAGGAATGGGAGGGGAACTCGACCATGGAGGTGATTGGAGGGATGGGGCTGTTCTTAGGGAGCTGGGATGGGAGAGCTGGGATTGTTCAAGTGGAGGAGAGAAGGATCCAGGGAGAGCTTGGAGCCCCTTCCAGAGCCTAAAGGGGCTCCAGGAGAGCTGGAGAGGGACTGGGGACAAGGGATGGAGGGACAGGACACAGGGAATGGATCCCACTGCCAGAGGGCAGGGAGAGATGGGACATTGGGAAGGGATTCCTGGCTGGGAGGGTGGGGAGGGGCAGGGCTGGAATTCCCAGAGAAGCTGTGGCTGCCCCTGGATCCCTTGGAGTGTCCAAGGCCGGGTTGGAGCCACCTGGGCTCCATCCCAAGCTCCTGGGCTCCATCCCACACTCCCAGGCTCCATCCCAAGCTCCAGGGCTCC